GATGACCATAATGCGAACTGTATATAAAAATAATCATTTGTGAAAAAAAAATATATATTAATTTCACTTACATGAACACCTTCAGCAGCAATTGTATCAAGAAGACTACGTTGAGCCATAGACATTTTTTTGTTTTTACTTTGTAACCTCGATCTTGTTTCAACGCAAATTGAATGACGAAATGAATATCAAATCGTACAGAGAGAAGGAATAGAAATGATTCACGAGGGAAAAAAAGAAAATATCACGATGATTTTAAAATAATTAATTACGAAGAAAATAAATTAGAAAAATTCTAATAAAATATAAAACTTATAAAAGTGTTTATTTTACGACGCAATGTTATTGGAGGATGGTCGTTGCTAAGCAACACGGTCTAATGAAATTGGTCCATGGCTGAGTTTGTTGATTGGAAAAATTCAAATTTTCTATATCTTTGACTTAAATGTTAGTTATTAGTTCTATAATGAACGGAATCATTTCCATCGGTGCAGAAATGCGTTATCATAATGCAGCTAAAACTGTTTTAACATCATCCATGCCTACTCTTTTAATTATTTTTAGTTGTTGAACTGAGAATAAACAGTTAAACTGGAATTCTTTAACAAAAAGAGTATGTAGAGGATATGTGTTCCGGAATAAAAATTATGCAGGGATCGAACTTCATTCTATTGAATTGTAATTTGTTAAGAAAATCCTTATTATTCTTTTTTCTGTATGAAAAGTTGGATGTTGCGGATGTTAACAATAGTGACGTTATCAGACGAGAGGTAGAAGAGACTCAACTTTTTTTAGTTACGCCACTAGTTAAACATGACAATAACTTATTGTATCTTTGAAGAATATTTTCAAATATATGTGTTAAATATTTCAAGTCAACCGAAATGGATTCAAGTTTGAGAGTTCGTGTTTTGTGTTACTGTAAATAACAAAAAGAAAAGAATTTTGCTATGTTTATTATGAAGAAAAAATTTTTTAATGTAATAATTCAAAAAGAATAAGTTAGTTCGAACAAAATAATTATTCCATTATACTCAACTTGATATTGGATGATGTGATCAAAACAGAAGAAGAACTATCTTCTTAGATAATATCAAAAATGAAATTCCAGATAAGAATATTTTCAAATTTTTACGAAAAATTTTTTATTAAAAACGAAGAAACAAGGATATAGGGATATTCTCAAGAATCTTACTATAATTTATAATTTCTAATCTACACTTCCTCTGAGAAAAAAGTTAACACATCATACCACATATTTTGATTATATTGTAATACTATATCATTATTAATATGTAATTGTATAGTTAGTTCAGTATCTACAACACAACTATAGATGTAATTTCGTTTCTTTTTTTAATTTTTTTTGGAACAGACAAAAGTAATATTCTTTGTTTTTATCCTCATTGGGACTGATTAGAGGAAAGTGGGTGTTTTTGTTATATTACATTGCATTTTAACTCCCCCCTCCCCCCACAATAAAAGACCCAGGATCTTCTATTATGTTTAAGCGGAAAAATTTTTTAGGGCGTCTTGGGTTATGACTCCCATATTTTTACGATTTTTGCGAAACTCACGTGTATTTTCGAAGAATTTAGTAAATCCAAGTTTAAGTTCAGGCTTTACGGCTCCTTAATTCCTATCATAGTAACCAGATGCTGGGAAAAAATCACTGTATATCGTCTCACAACAACAAGCAATAGTGGGTAATTTATATCAACGGCTATATTATTTTTGAAATTCTGTAATTTCTAGTTATGTTTTTAAGTTTTGTAGAACTCACATACATTTCCGAAGAAACTAATAGTGATCGTAAGTTTGAGTCAAGGTTTTTCAGCTTGTCCGCTCTTCCCCATTATAGATCGTAGCAACCACTTAGACTTAAAGAGCTGTGGAAACTTCTAGAATCTTTTGCTTTTCAACAGTTCGAATATTTTTATGAGCATTCGCAAAAGGCTAGCCTCCTTTTTTTTGCGCAGATAAAAGTTAATACGATCCTTTTGAAAGATAATCTTTTGTGATTTTTCATAACAGTAGTATAAGTTACATAAAAGCGTGATCAAACTATTTTTTAGCTTTTAGAAATATTTATTTTGTGCCTTACTCAGTACATTAGTATGCATACAAGACTCTTAGAATCTGGTGAAGATACAACCAATGTCTGTACTAAGCTTATTTAATCATTAAATTAAAGCTTGATTCGAATAATATGAAATAATGATAATCTCGATTAACAGAAGAATAATACATGGCGAATAGCAACAAGAAAAAAAGCACGCATTAGAAAAAAAATCTGTGTGAAATGAACGAGCAGAAACTGCTACAAATTAATCATTGTGATCAATGTTTCTTTAGGAATTTAACATTGTGCATCTGTTATATTATTATCAATGTATTGAGGAAGCCTGATAAATGGAGTGAAGAGAGGAAGGGGGAAAAAGCAAGTTTCGAGATTTCAAGATTCTCAAAGATTTTGAAAGATTTTGAAAGACTCTAATTAAAGAAAATCTGCGTCCTCTCATAGATCTCTGCTTGAAAACTTGTTCGATCTCATTGTATACGCGTTTCTATGTGACTAAATCCCTCCACTGCGGAGAGGATTGTATAAGATAGAATGAGTTTGTGGCTATTAATTTAGGTTTTCATCCAATCATCTAGTCAGGTACTTGCATGTATTGATGTAATCTTTAACGTTTTAATGAAGACAAACGAATGCGACGAATCTAAATCTGTAATCGGCTGCTAGAAATTTTGAACTCAATACTTTTCATTCAGGAAACACTTTCTAAAATAATAACCATGGTTTTATAAAGTTTCAAAAAAGATAGTCAAGATCGAGGAATCTGAATCCTTAATTAGCTTTTAACTGTTCGTCGCCTTGGTTTACCTTTGATAAAACTCATTGTTTCTCTGAAATACTATACACCTACTGAGAAATCAAAGATGCGAATGTCGCGAAATCTATTACAGATTGAAATTATTCGACGATACTTGCGTTTCGTCGAACTCTATAAAAAAACTGTTGTTTTCTCAAAATAGCTTTTTTTGGATAAAAAAAAGTGAAATTAAATGGTATTCATCTCAAGCCTATCGCTTCTTCACTTAGTTTCAACTGAATAAAGTACTCGGTGGGAAGATGTTAAACTTTACATTTAATTTTAAACTTTATATCAACATTCGATACGAATGGTACCCGTTATCATGATTCGCTTGACCATCCACTAAACTTGACTTTACCTTCGCCTCTTACCACTTACTAGACTCTGTTTTGAGACCTAACGCTCAAGAACATGTGCTACATGTAGGAGGAAATGTTTATTTCGTTGTCCGAAACGATCATTTTGTACAGAGACCGTATCTTTCCCTAGGGAAAATCTTTGATGTTTCCTTTCTAGATCCATTAAGGATCCTGCAAGGATTCGTTTTTTTCCTGAGGAAATGATGAAATCCTGAAGGAAGCGTGTAGCCGTGAAATTTCAAGATCCTGACAGGATTGAAACAAGATTCAACCAGGATACTTCTAGGTTTATCACTGATTTTGCACTAAGAACCCGTTAGGAAATCAATAAATCCTGAAAGAAGCGTGTAGCCGTGAAATTTCAAGATCCTGGCAAGATTAAGAACAGGATTTAAGCAAGATCCTGAACAGTTTACCACTGGATTCAAAATCAGGAATCTGGCTAGGAAACTCTAAGTTCTGAAAGAAACGTGTAACAAAGAAATCTTCAAGATTTGCGCAGGATTCAGACAAGATCTCGGACGAATCTTGCCAGGATTTTAATGGTTCCCAATAAAAAAATTCTGTTTACATCTTCCAGAATCTTAGTAGCTTTCATCTAAGATATTATCATATTTCTTGGCTAGATCTTGTCAAAATTTTTCAAGATTTCTTCCAGAATGTTATTAGGTTTCTTGGCAGGATCTTTGCAGCATGATCGAAAGAGAACAGAAAAGAAATGAACACATAGAGTATTGATCTCTAGACCTTCAGTTTACATACCGATCAGCTTACCCGGCTGGATGTCCCATATTAGTAGATATAGGTTCAACATTGAATATCTTCATTTTATCTGAAATTTTAACTTCTATTAGAATTCTTTTATCAACATAATTATTTTGAGAAAAACTTTTGAGAAAAAATATTTTATTTGAAATATTCGTTTCAATTGAAAAAATCCTATTATATCGTGTTTGACTTTAATTTAATTCAAAATATATTTTTCCGATTCTTTTACAAATAAATGAAATGCATAACAATTTATATGAAAAAATTTTGCTTCACAAAAAATATAGTTTTTTATTTAAAACTTTAGTACAATAAATCAACAAATGTAAACTCCCTAATTTAGTAATTTTTCCAGTATTATCTAATATAAAATAGAGCAAATCATTAGTGATATGCCCTGAATGTCAGATCTATTTTAATATAGATTATGTACTGTGAAAAAGTCTACAAAGAAAATTTTTAAGAAGTTTTATATTTATTTAGGCACAGATTTACATCAGGATCGGCGTAAAAATCATAGCAAATTCCTATCGATTCTCAGATTTCCATCGTGCTCAGAAGAAAAATATAACAAAATCTTGGGAACATCATTCAGTTTATAATTGTTGAGACTTAATTTTATTCTGATATGGAAAATCATGTTTTGACTTCTAGATGTACAGATCTTGGATCGGTCCTGAACAAGAAGCAGATAAAATATTAATAAAAATTTTCATGCATTCTTGTCAGGATCTTGAACAGGATCACTTATAAATTTTGGTAGGATCCTGAATATCAAATTCTAAATACACTCTAAACACAAGCCTACAAAGATCTTAAGTGGATCCTTGCGTTTCCTCTTCAGAACCTTGATCATACTTGCACTTTATATCAGGATCCAAAACGTGGATTCTTGAACAGACGCTTGTAGGATCCTGAGAAGCTCTGCGAAAGATCAACATAATAAGAACAAATCGAAATCGCGACAGGATCTTGAACAGATCTTGCACGATACCTGACTAAATTTTGATCTAAACCTTTCTATAATTCTTGTCAGGATCCTGAAAAGAATTGCGAGTAAATCCTGATAGGTAGGGACGCACCGAACCCAGGTACGCACCGGGATTCCCGGGTTCGGTCATTTCCGAGTTCGACATTCTCGGGTTCGGTCATTCCCGAGTTCGGCATTCCCGGATTCGGTCATTCCCGGGTTCGATCATTCCCGGGTTCGGTCGTTTCCGGATTCGGTCATTCTCGGGATTTGGTCATTCCCGAAATCCAACCAATACTAAGTTTTGTCTCAACCTAAATCTTTTGTTAAATACAACAGAGTCTCATTAGCAGATAGATTTACTAAGGAAACTTCTAGCAAAGGAAAATCGAGGTTGGAGAATCCGAATCTAAAGTCAGGTTTTTAAAATTTTGAATTCGATTTTTTAGTTCAGGGAAAGGGTTTGTTGAGAAAATAGCGATTTTTTATAAAGGTTGACGAAAGTAAATCTGGGTCGGGGAATCCGAATATGAAGTCAGATTTTAAAAACTTTGTTGCTTCATCCCTGTGATAAGTTTTGTTCAAAACCTGATATTTATGAAAAACAGATATTCATAGAAACGAATATCTGTTTTTCATAAATATCATAGGGTGTGGGTGTGGATGTGGTGGGTGGGTGGGTATGCGAGTCCTCCCCTCATCTACACCCACACCCGCCCACACCCACATTTTCCTATTTTTTTATTATTGATTTTAGCCGAGCGTCTACCAGGTTCTTGGGATTCAATTTCCTGTAATATTTTCATATATTCTAGATAAACTATACCAGTGTTTAATGCGTGCAGTCAAACTATATATATGATCCCTGAAACAATAAGAACAATAATAATGAGCAGCTTAACATCAAGCGAAAAGTATAAACAAATTTGTTTATATGTCGCCTACACTGGTCAAATCAACTATCGAAACGCATCGTATGATCGCTTGAATATTCTTCTTCTAAAAGCTCATCGTTGACAGGAGAACAGCAACGTCATTCGATCCAAGACACATCCCCTACACTTTAGAAAATCCATTTGTCTAAAAAAACCAAAGTTGAACATTTGTTATAGGAAGATCTATCTAAACTATCTTGTTGGACATATATGGGGTGAACCCAAGGGGGAAACGACTGACTTTGGACTTTTCTGACTTTTTTGACTTAAATGACTTTTTTGACTTAAAATGACTTTCGTGACTTAAATGACTTTAAAAGTCATCTATTTCAAATTCAGTAATTGCTGCTTTATTCGAATATTATTTTACACTTAGACGTTCTATCGATTTGTTGGCAGTAAAAGCTATCATCAAAATGTTCTTGAGTAATGTTAAATCGGAAAATACAAGTTATTTTGAAAGAACTTTATTTAAGTTAGCATAAAAACAAAAGTAAACAAAGAAAAAAAATAAAAATAGACAATTAAAATATATACAAAGATTTTCCAGTTAATTATGAGTTCTTATTTTGCCCAATAACTCGTCGCAATCGATCCGCTGATAAAGATTTCTTGTCATCTGTAAAAAGCCAACAGGCCGTTTGCTTGTGAATAAATTTTTCCTTTCCATCGATTTGTAGTTTGAAATAAGAAGAGGATTTTGTCGCTTCGATCGAATTGAAGATTCTCATACCAGGAAAAATATCGCCAGTCACATCATTGAGCTCATAAATAGGTGAATCGTAATCGTTATCAGTTCCATTGCCTTCTTCGTCGATTGAGTCATGGTAATCGAAGATATCATCAGATTCAGAATCAGATTCTATGGCTTCAGGAGTAGACTCATCGATTGTATTTGTCATCGTGTTCATTTTATTTAAAATAAAACTATTTAAATTTTTTAATGTATGAATATTATTTTCTGTTAATGCACTATCGACACCAAGAGTCGAGAGTAATTCAAAAACATCATCAAATGCACAAGAAACAATTTGTTGAATATCATTTTTCGTCAGTGGCCATATAGTTGAGACTGTTGCAGATGATGCTGATTTACTAGCCTCTTTGCGATGCTTAGGAAAAACTAAAGATGTTGAGTTAACAGCGGAGCTCTTAAGCTCATTCTCGTTTTTAATAGCATGCAAAATTGATAGCTTTTGAGCACGATTGAGAAACTGCATTACAGAAAAGTTAACGATAGATGAAAAAGCACCAGACATTGCTCTAGTAGAGCGAAATGTGCCTTCGCATGTTTGAGAATTGAACAGAAAAATTTGAAGAGCCTCTTTGGGCAACTTTTCTTCTAATACAAGAAGAGTGAGATACATTAGCTGATGAGCATTGATCTCGATTGACTGAAATGATATGTCTGTAATAAAGAATTGTTTTATTGATTTTGTTCGACTTTGAGAAGTTTTATCATTATTTGAGTACCACGCAAAAGTTTCATCAAAATCATACTTTGCCTTAACGAGTAACCAAGCCCACCACATGCGACATAAAAAGACAGAAAACTATGCATGGTATAGTCGGTCAGTTATACTCGTGGCTTTATCAATATATGCAGTAATTACAGAACGAATGAGTTTCAGATACAAGCGCATAGCTTGTGAATCAGGTATTTCTTCTAGTGCTAATTGTACATCATCACTAGAAATTTTTTGACATGAAGCGAAATTCTGTCTATCACGAGGATAGATATCAGACTTGACTAAGCCGTGTTTCAGCTTATTAATGTTAGATATCAATTGTGATAAAATATCAAGTGAAATGCGCTGTTTACCGATCCCCAAGATAGCAGTGGATGATAGTAAACGATTTCGCAATTTCGTGCATATATGAATTGGATCTTGAAAGCAGAGTATCAATTGTCGATGCCGAAGAAAAAACCATGTCCAATTGGCAGGTACAGATACTTCAAATGCATCAGCCCGATCACTCAATGCCATATTAGGCAATGATGCGAAAAAGCCTAAGACAAGTTTCATGGCTCTTAGGTACTTCGAATCAGCGTCCGTTGAGAAACCAAGTATCCGAATGCCTTTTGTCAGACACTGCTCGAATATCCAAATCCATCGACGTATAATATCAATTGACGTATATTTGCTATTCGTTCCATAAGCGGAAAGAAGAAAAGGAGCAGAAGATTTTGCTATGCTCATTATAGGTTGTATCATGTGCACATTTATAAGCGTCGATTTATCCATATTGGAAAACCAGCTTTCTAATTCAGCAAGAGACTCTGTTTGAAAGTATTTAGAAACAGGAAGTCCATTACTAAGAGGCAACGAAAAGCCAACGAAGGTGTTTGAAGTAGCATTGTAAGTTACTGTAGGAATTACTGGAGTACAGTCTTCGGAGCAAAAAGCAATGCTTGTATCATTCGAACTGAGTTTGTGCTTCAGTGTATCGAAACGAAATTCACCTTCTATAATCTGGTTTTCCTCGCGATCTAAAGACGACTGAATAGTAGAAACAGCTGGAATAGCACCAGGAATATTCATTCGTACGAATTCGTATGCATTACGATCTGCAAGTATATAAAGAGACATAGCAAATTTTTGCACCTGTTCGTTATAGCGATAAGCGTTTTTTGGAAGTGCCAAATTTTGTATGATATTGTCAATAAGTACAGTTAAGAAAGACAGATTACTGTCATTATCATTATTATCTATCGTTAAATAGAATTCAATAACTGTTTTTAATAGAGGATGTTTAACAAGAAATTCTTGAGAAATTATAAGATCATCGCATTGATGATCAGTCGACATTGGTTGCAATAATTTATCACTAACATTTCGCAAAGCTTCTATAAATGCATCAACATCAAAACGAATGCCAGCTTTAATTTGAAATTTGCCATTTTGGAGTTCAAAACCAACCATTTTTTTAAGTGCAGTTAATTCGGCAGAATCATAATTTATAAAGTCAAATACATCATTGATACGTAATAAAGATTGTACAGATCTTATATTCTGCAAATGGAACATTTCTTCAACAACAATACCACATTTATCCCGCACGAGATCATAGAAGACATCATCATGATATGACAACACGTCGTCTGGTAGCAGCATATGTGTCATCGTTTGAATAATAACACTTGATACTAATTTAGAAAACAATTAGACAGTAAGTATAGTTATATGAACAGAAAGAGAGAATTCTTATTTGCGCTCAATAGAAAAGTGAAAATAAATAAATGTGATCTATCATTTATATACGATGATATACAGCCTGACTATTCATTCAATTGTTTTGTTCGTCGATAATTTTTCAGTTCCGTCCTTGAATGAAAGAATAGATTGAACAGTCAGCCGTCGAGTTCGTTTAAAGTCTGATAGTTTTTTCTGTCTTTCAAAAAAAAAATTATTGTTTATATGTAATTATGCTATTTTTTTTCACAAAAGTTTTTTTATCTAGTATCATCTTCGATTCTATCATCTTTATTAAAATATGATTCATAAAGTTTTGTCTAACTATGAATAAACATATAATGATAATTACAAAAAAAAATCGCATTTAAAAAAATCAACAATAATATATGGTCACTAGTAGTTCATAAATGAACAATAGCGCAAAAATATAAACAAATATAATTTTCATAAAATACAAATAAAAAATTTAATAAATATGTACATCAATGAATTTTTTATTGAACTTTAATTTTTTTGTCGCTTTTTTCTTGAATCATTGATACCTGATAAAGATGAATGTCGTTTGGAATCAGTCGATATAGTAGAATCAGAAGATAAAATTGGAATATTTCCTGTAGTAGTTCGTTGTAAAGATATTTCTTCATCAATACTAATATTGTTGCTAGGATTACTATTAATATTATGCATTGGTTGTTTTGCTTTAAGCATAGAACATCTTCTCACTTTCAAGTGACGATAAAAATTTGATAATTGAAAGTTCCTTCCTTGTTTTGGTAATCGAGCCGATCTATGGCAGCCACAACGAATATGAGCAAAACCAGAAGATAACGTGACTACATAATCGGTACCTTCAACAAGTTTTAAATCAGAAATACCAACTTCATCAGCATGTTTTAAACACCATTCGTCGATTGACTGTATAATAAAGGAGTGATGATCAATAGCTTCAATTGTTGATGTCGTAGTTGTTGAAAATTGAATAGTATCAGTAATCGTTTGAAGAGAATTATTAGGTGTAGCAGTCGTGTTTGAAGAGACATTCGAAATCGTTCGCCGTTTACGATTAGTATTCTTCAATAGTTCACCTTGCTTCCTTCCAAATAAATCACGTAAATATTCAATTGAGCCTTTAATACCTGATTTGATCAATATAATTATTATTTTCAAGAATAAAACATGTTTTTGTTTTAATATCATTGACTTCTTTAACATTGATGTTGAAAACGTCGAAGATATTTGGTATACGTAAAAATGCATTAACTGTTCGAATACCTTGAATCTTAAGTAATGCTGCCTCATCTGGACCAGCAATTTGACTTATAAGATTGTAAAAATCATCATCTTGGTAGGTGAACACGTCAAAAGGTACTACTTTCGTATCCACAAATAATGTTCGAGAAGCCATGAATATAGAAATCATATGAATATAAAATAAAAAATATGATGTGTAAATAAAAGGAGTAACAACGAGTATATACACATGAAATGAAAAAGTTGAAACTAATTAGTGTCCAGCATTCACGAGTTATATATGTGCATTTTTTTCGTCTGTTTTGTATGTATATATCCGCCGGAAAAAAATATGATGAAATTATTTTACACAATACGTCGTCGAGATTGAACAAAAATTCGTTATCTTTTGTTCTTTATTAATGCCACTTAAGACATGATTTTCATGACTTTTTTGACTTTCTTGACTTTTTATGACTTTTATGATTTAAAAGTCACTAAAGTCAGTCGTTTCCCCCTTGGGTGGACCAGAAGTTTTGCGAAATTTTCAAAAAGTCTCTCTTGGCTATTGGTTTATTAAGATAATCGGTCTCTTTTACATAATTTAAGTGCACACTAACGCCCTCTATCACCCTAATAGGGTGATATTTTTTGTTTACTTTTTTTCGCTGATTTTGAGATGGTGAAAAGTCAGGATCTGCGAGATGTGGCTATTTCCCACTACAAAAATGGGAGAATAGCTTCAGAAATTGCTGAATTATTGGCGAACAAGATTCATCGAAGTACAATTGATCATTGGCTACGTCGGTATAAATAATCTGGTTCAGTTGATGTTAAACCAGAATCAGGAAGACCAAGAACTAGTCGTACAAAAACCCATATACTTGGTGAGAAAAAGGCTCAATTCCAACATTTCTCGAAAAAGTTTACCAAAAATGGCTCAAGACTTTAGAAGCAGTAAACAAACGATCAAGCGAGTACTCAATATTGATTTACATAAAAAGTGCTATCGAAAAATTAATGTTAAAAAACCAATAAGAAAAACATGTTGTCGATGGATCAGGAAAAATATTGATCGTAGTAAATTAGAAAGAATGATGTTTACTGATAAAAATTTTTTACCAAGAATGGTTATTTCAATCCAAAAAATGATGTTATATGAGTTGATAATCGATCTGATGCTGATAAATGTGGTGGATTACATCTAACGAAAAAATATTCGATGTGCATCATAGCTGCATTGGATGTAACATGGTATGGACTTACATGTCGATACTTTTTTCCTTAAAGACGAACGGCTGAATGGCCGAAGCTATCATGATCAATTGTTATCATTTTATGAAGAGGAAGGTAAGCGGCTATTTGGACATAAAAATTGGGGCTTCAACAGGACGGGCTAGCTTCCATACTGCTCGTAAAGTTCAACAATGGTGCAAAAAGAATTTTAAAATTCTTTATTCCAAAAGAAAAATGAACACCGAACTCTCCAGAGCTTAATCCACTAGATTATTCCATCTGGAATAATATCTCAAATCATGTGGAATATCATAAAGTCAAAACAATTAATAATTTGCGTCGAGAAGTCGAGACAGCGATAAAGAAAGTTGACATTACTTATGTACGGGAAGTAGTTGGTGTTTTTCTTCAAGGAATGTATTCAGTGCAAAAACATGGTGGTAAACTGATTATGAGTGAGTATAGTTAATTCTTGTAGTACTCTATTGTAGCTTTTGAAACATCATATTGTTATTTTATTCGTTCATTTTCTTTCGAAATAAATTGGTTTTTTTGAAATGTCACAACACTTTTGGTTCATCCGGTATACGCCCTCAAACAATAGTTATGGTCCGTATTTCAGACAGATTGTCACTAGAAAAACTCATTTTTTAAAAACTAATTACATATTCTGAAAACACGTGGAGTTTTCTACCACTGTGCATTTATGCTTTAGTTTGCACTTATGTGGGTGTGGGGTGTGGGGTATGGACGTGGGTGTGTGGTGTGGGTATGGGTGTGGGTGTGGGTGTGGGTGTGGGTTAGGGTGTGGATGTGGGTGAGTGTGGGTGTAGGTGTGGCTATGGGTGCGGGTGTGGGTGTGGGTGTGGGTGTCGGTGCGGGTGTGGGTGTGGGTATGGGTGTGGGTGTGTGGGTGTGGGTGCGGGTGTGGGTGTGTGGGTGTGGCTGTATGGGTGTGGGTGCGGGTGCGGGTGCGGGTGTGGGTGTGGATGTGGGTGTGGGTGTGGGTGTGTTGTTCTTAATTCACCCCACATCCACACCCTACTCTGAGCGCTGGCTAAGTTTGGGCTCAGATTTGAGTAGTTCTGAAGATTGTTCACTTTTAGGATTTTTCAAATCTTCGAATTGTGGATTAGTTATTCCACTGTGTGCTCCGTCATAGTCAAGTCTGAAATTCTTTTTTTTGCTTATATCTGATTCTTTTCGACAACTAACTGAAAATGACTGCAGTAAGGACCGATCCCTGACATCGGAAACTCAGAGGCCAAACCCGAATCCGAACTCTGAGACCGAACCCAAACCCAGAGACCAGATCCGAACCCGAACTCCGAGACCGAGCCGAATCCAAATCCCGAACTCAGAGATCGAACTCGAACCAGAACGTTCGGGTTTGGTGCGTGCCTATTCACCTCCAATCTATAAAAAGAGCAAAGTAACTCTGGTATGAACACTGCCTTAAAAGAGTGGATGTGATTGTCATTGTGTGAATTGGTGTGGATGGGGATGTTGATATGAGTCAATCCATGATACCGACACACTCGCATCCATAGCCGGAGCTGCACACGCAGATCGAGATTCAGACTCCGCACTCACACGCCCACCTACATTCGCATCCACACTCTCTATGCATACAGACCTAGGCACACCTCCCTCCCCCCCCCCACCCCCCCCCCCCCCCCCCCACCCCCACCCTCACACGCACGCCCTGGCACCTCCAACCCCCCCCCCCCCCCCCCGCTGACACAACCACCTGGGCCCATACCCGATCCGCACCCACACTCTCCCTTCACTCATGTTCTTCTGCATGCGTACCCAGACCCAGGCGGATACTTCACACTCACACACCTACCTGCACTCGCCTGCACATCCTTCCCACACTCACGCCCTTGCAATATGCGCACCCGTAGCCAGAGGCACAGCCACTCCATCGCCAAAACTCGTATCCACATCACAAACGCATCTCACACCCATTCTCACACCCGCACCTCACATTCTTAGCCACTGAGACACCCATTCTCATACCCACACCTACCCGCACACGCTCACTCTTGCATTTCGAGGTGAAATAGCATTTTCGAATTCTTTTGCGAGAATTCGATCTGAAAATTTTAAAAACAACATCTCTATGGGTTATTGAACGATCTCTATCTGTGAATACTAAAAAATTGGAGAAAGAAATTGGGCTCACATTTTGAGTTGTCATCGCCATAAGAAACTTGCTCGGAACTCTTTGTTCCGAGAAAAAATAAGAGGAAGATTGTTCGAGCCACAGAAAATCCGTTTTAATTTACTGAAAATCCGTTTTAATTTACTGAAAATGTCTGAAAGACTAGTATTCATTTGTAGTTGGTATCTATTGCAGCTATTCTGACTGAACTCGCGGATTCATTTACGACTAGCTGCTTTGGAACTCAGTCGAAAATTTCTAATTGGACGGAACCACAATACACCAATCGAATCGACGTACCATCGATGGCTTATAGATGTACAAAAGCGTCAAAAGAGCATATAACACCGCGTTCATACTACGTTTCTATTTTTATTCTTGTGTCTATGGCAATCGTCCTACATGTCCTTTCTAGAGAAAAGAAATCTTTCGCATCCGCTGGTGTTAGTCCGTGTTTAAGCGCTTACAACAACGATACTATTCCTTTACCCGTGTCATTTTTAGTGCATTATTCTCTTAACAATTGCGGTGATATTTTCAATGCCTTGTATAGTTCCTTTCAATGTTTGAACGGTAATCCCAGTGATTTTCACACTGAAGATTTATGGCATGATAGAGTCTGCATATTTCATAATGTTTGTTTACGGAAAGAGCGTTGGAGTAAGAATTATCTTATTGATTACTTTTATCCTTCAACAATGGAATCGCTAAGATCCACTATTATTCGACATACCAATAGTGTACTGCTATCTTTGCGCCACGGATCTCGAGCTTATTCCTATGATAATCTGAAGGTGGTTCGATTGATATTAACTCCAGTCGACTATTTGAATACATTCGATACGAACAGAAATGTCATATACCTTAATGACACTTATTTAATTTACCAACTACTAGCACATGGCGATATGAACTTCGGTCACTTTATATTCGATGACGTTTTCGGTTTGTACTCGAGTTTGAAACAATTTCGTTCCACACGTTTCAATCTTCCTCATCAAAATCATGTGCTAGCATACAAACCATGCTCCAGTTTTACTGAACCTTTGCAAAACCTATGCAAGAAATTCACGCAAGACATTTTTCCAGTGATTACATCGCATTCAATCCATTCAATCGACTCACTATTGGATTCGTCCAACCGCATTTGTTTTCGTCAATTAGTTGCCGGGCAAGGAATTGCTGGTGCAGTGAGCCATTCCGCAAATAACATACATCGGGCACGAATTTTTGACGACTTTCGCTCGGATTTATTACGTGTACATGGAGTTAATCCAAATTCCACTCCACGACAGCATCATATTGCTCTTATTGAGAAGACTGGTAGACGAAAGTTTAGAAACTTGGATGAAATTTATGCAAAAATTCAAGCAGCACCCCAATACGCGGGCATTAAAGTTACGATTTTAAGTAACTTTGTCAATTTGACAGTTGCTGACCAGTTGAAATTGTTTCAGACGATCACTATCGTAGTATCCCCATGCGGAGGAATATCCCTGTTATTTTCTTTTCTACCTTTAAAAGCTACATTGATTGTCTCTGGATTTCCAAAGCCTGGTAAAATCGGTTATAGTACTGGTCGTATGGAAGCAGTATATTGGGACTATCAGTCACATTTGAATGTATTCCATTATCCGGTGAATTCATCTAACGATTTCGAACTGGATCCTCATTTTAAAAAGCATGTCTATGACGATGTAAGAAATTACGCAGATATCATCCTCAGAACAGAGAAATTATTCCCCCTCATTGACAGAGCGATTATCAGAGCT